AAAGATTTTATTTGTTTATTTGACAGAGAGAGATCACAAGTAGACAGAGAGAGAGAGAGAGGGAAGCAGGCTCCCTGCTGAGCAGAGAGCCCGATGCAGGACTCGATCCCAGGACCCTGAGATCATGACCTGAGCTGAAGGCAGCGGCTTAACCCACTGAGCCACCCAGGCGCCCAACATGTACTTTCTTAATGTGTTGCTTTAGGACCTTCCAGTCTCCCCCCAGAAAGTGGTAATATCCACCATGGTAATTCTAACAAGCTAGAGAGAGGAAGCTGTCCACATATGCAGCAGTCGGATTGATTTTTGTTTTGGGCAAATTAGTGGGCCTACTGCAGAAAGACATTTCCATCAGTTGTCCGTCCCATGACTGGACACCATAGGATAAAGAGACACCTAACCAAATGATTTCTAAAAATTACATGATTGTACTTGGGCTGTGAGTTTTCTGTGGATTTATTTCTCATCTCTATTGGGAAAATTAACACAAGAGCTCCAGGGCTTTTGAAACAAATGTGAGACAAAGTGATCTAAGGTTGTATCTGTCATTAACCTCAATCAGTTCTAAAGAACTGGAGTTTATGAAAAGGAGATTTTTTTACCACCAGTAGAGAAACCTGACCCTGTGTCAAAGATCAAAAGTCATGAGAATTCCGATCGGAAGGAGTAATATCGCAGATATTTCAACTGACTTAATCATCCTATAAAATGCTCATATAGCCTTCAAGTTTCCTTAAATAAATAAATATATTTAGGCACCTAAGTATTCATAAAACTCCCCACTTTAGACAAGTATTTCTGTAATCAGAAATGCAAGGGTCAGGGTCACATGTGTGAATAAAACTTTGGACAGTACAGCTGGCATAATAATCATAGGATAAGAGGAATAAGAGAATATAAAGTATGATGAAAAAAATTTTTTGAAATTGTAATATACAGGCCTGGTCCAGAGTCTTGGGATAGCTCTCTACTCAGATGTCATCTGTTTTTGAGATGTCATAAGTTTTAATTCTCTGTTAGGGAAGGGTGGCCCACCTCATATTAGAGCTTTCTTTAAATGAGAACCATGAACCCAAAAATCAATACCTTTGAGTTTAACTGCACAAGGATTTGTTCAAAGTAACCTGGTTGTCTCTTTTCCATTGAGGCTACAAAGCATCCTTGTGGAGATGTCTTTTCTAATGGAGATAATCTCCAGATTGAAGGCAGTGCTGTAGGATGTCTGTCTCCTGGGCGAGCTCTGTGGAAGAACTTTTCTACCAAGGCACGCATTTTCTTTAAGGCCTCTTAAAGCCTTTATTCAAGTATTTATCCTTTAATTAATAAAGGTTCGTGAATTCCTGAACTTAATCTCAGAGGTCTCCCAGTTACTACTTCGAAGGACAATACTTTGTTTTTTGAAAGGTATGGACCTTAAATTTAACAATATAATTGGCAGTTCCTTAGGCCAGGGTAAGTTGAAGGCTTCTCTGAATTTAGCTAGTTGAGTTTTAATTATACCATCTGTCTTTTCTGTCAATCCTGATTACTAATGAAAATGTAAAATAGGGGTGCCTGGGTGGCTCAGTCGTTAAGCATCTGCCTTTGGCTTGGGTCATGATCCCAGGTCCTGGGACCGAATCCCTCATCAGGCTCCCTGCTCGGCAGGAGGCCTGCTTCTCCCTCTCCCACTCCCCATGCTTGTGTTCCCTCTTTCACTGTGTCTCTCTCTGTCAAATAAATAAAATCTTAAAAAAAAAAAGAAAATGTAAAATATCAA